AAAAAAAAAAAAAAAAAAAACAAAAAAAAAAAAAAAAAAAGAAAAAGCCCACATTCACTGTGAAAAGGAAGACAGAGAAACACTGATAACAAGAAGTATAATAGAATTGGCAAGTCCTAGAATAAGAGAACATAGTGATACAACTTATAGATGATAACCAAATTTAAATAAAAAATGATAAGAAGAAAATATCTTGCCACCAATTCTGTCTTGTAATTTCTGTGAAGATGTCTCTGGATCGCTTAGATAATTAGGAGAAAGCTGTGTTACCTCATTAATTTCAAAACACTGTTTATCTCACCTTTATGCTGTGGAATTCGCAGGAAAATATGGCCCTAAGGCAAGAATCCAATAGAAGTGTAAGTGGAAATGTTGTTTTTCTCATTACCTTAACACCTATTTACAGGTTGTCAGCAGCAACCTGTGTTGCCCTCTGAATAGAAATTTTGCTGCTCACACTGAGTCCTATTACCGGCCAGCTGTGCCCACTTAGAGCTATTCATCATCAACCTTCACGTGTGAAAGCGATAACTATCATGACTTTCTTCTTCATAAATTAACTCCATCTCTGATGGTCAATATATATGAGTACAATTTGTGTCTGAATAAGAATAGATGATATGTAACGTAGGAGGTTCACAATCCATAGGCCCAAAATTATTCAGCATTTCTTAAAAAGAACCAAAGTATTTTTGTTACTTATATATATTTCAACTCATGAAAAACTTAAAACACGGACACACACACACACAAACACAACTTTAATATCCTTGTATGAGCACATAAAAACTATACTAAAAAAGAAGAGAAAAACATAGATTCACTTCGTCCCGGTTCTGAGACAAACACGACTGTTCCACTAGGCCTAACAGGTTGTAATAATGAGTTGGCACGATGCCTGTTCATACCATCTGCTGTTTTCTCAAGGCTGCTGCCTTATCTATTGCAGCGAATGCTATAACGCAGTACTGCATTGCTTCCTCTGCATGCAGAGACTTCTCAGACTGGGAGCAGGACAAGGAGAGCTCTACTAACATTTAGCTAAAAGGCCATCTGCTGTCGAGAAAACTAAGCAAGTTGATTGAAAAAAAAAAAAGAAAGAAAAAAATGCCGAATCTCAAATTATTGTTTTTCAAGGTCTTTTATGACATCTGAGGGCACAGCAGTCGTTCTGTCATGCTTTTCATCTCTCTTTCTCAGGAGTCATTAAGATTTGGAGCAGCAGTTGTCAAACTTGCTATATTCCTCCCTTTAAAATATAATGAAATTCATATTTAGGAAGATTTTATAGCGATATTTAATAAGCACAGCCGAACTGGCATATATAAACAAGACTGAAGAAGAAAGATACCCAAACCTTGTCTAATTCTCTATGCTTTCTTCCATGCAATCATTTTACCTATGACACTAGATCTGTAAAATGGAAAGTTTTCTCTTTTTTGTATCTAATGTTCCTGTATGTGAGTATATATGTGTGTGTTTTATTTTCCTTGATGTTACAGAGATTTGGAAAGAAGACTTCTTGCAGAACAGTAGGATAAAGCAGACAGTCTGTTCAGTTTATGCCTCTTCAAATAGCCAGTCTTTGAACATTTATGAAGATATAGAAGAGATGAGCTCAAGTATAAGAAAACAGCAAATGTAAACTCACTTCTCATCATTCAAACTTTATTATCTACATTTGGACTTGAAGTCAGTATCCTCAAATATGAGCTAGGTAACATGCCATACACTGTGTGATTATTATTAAAATAACACAGTGAATATGATGAACTTCTAACAATTAGAAAGAGTTGTACAACCAGATTTTCTGATTCAGGGGTTGGAGAGGGGTACAATGAGAAATTCACTTTATATATTATTTTACCTTTCAATAGCTTTAAAGAATTCTTTTTATTAAAATTTGTGCTATCTAGTGTTACTTAGAAAAAATGTAATATTTAATTATGGAAAATGTAAATTTAACAAAAACGACTGAAAAATATTTAAGTACAAGCATTTCTACAGAGGAAAAATAGAGGTTGTGTAGAGAAACAAAAGCTTCAAAGTCAACCAAGAAATTCAGCAATCATCTATGACTGTCTAATCTTAGCCAACAGATATCTCTCATCAGATCATTCCTTGCTTAGATTTTATTTGTATATTTGCAAAATGAAAACTCACCTCTTTTGCAAAATGAAGGTCAAGACTATACAATAGAGAAAGAATAGCTTTACTTTAAAATAGTAATATAAAAACTAGCTCCTCATATACAAACAATGAATTTATATTATTATTTTACATCATGGAAAATATCAATTCAAGATAGATTACATACTTAAACGTAAGAATTGAAAGTGTAGCAACTCAGGTAAAATAAAAGAAAATTTTCTACACATTGTCCTTGGCAGTGACTTTTTGGATATGATACCAAAAGCAAAAACAGCAAAGAAAACATAAAAAATAGAATTGCGTGAAGCACAATCATATATTACAACAAAGAAGACATGGAAACATACAGAATTAAAGAAAATTAAAACCCATATATTTCATAAAGGATTAATTTTAAAATGCCTAAGAAACTTTAATAACTCTATAACTAAAGTTTCTTAGGCATTTTGAAATTAATAACTGTATGGTAAGAAGCACACAAAAATGATGAAAATAATAACTGGGCAGCCAGGTGTGGCGGTGCACACCTGTAATCACAGCACTTGGGAGGCAGAGGTAGGAGTTTGAGGCCATCCTGGGCTACAAAGTAAGTTCAAGATCAGGCTGACCTGCATAGCAAGATACTGTCTCCAAAAAACAATAATTGGGCAAATAAACTAAACAGACACTTCTCCAGAGAAAACAGTCAAGTGCCCACTTCTATATGAAAACTTTTTGATATTTCTTGTTATCATGGACGTGTACACATAAATCACAATGGAATATCAACTCACATGTTAAGATGAATATTATAAAAAATAAGTGTTAGCAGAGATATGATAAAAGGGAATTTTTGTACGCTTTTAGCAAGGATGTTAAAAAAGCAAACACGTACATTCTTTGACAAAGCTAGAGAAAATTCAAAGGTATGATGCTTCTTTAAAATTAAAAATAGAACTATCCTGTATTCCTCTTATCCTTCTCCTAGGAAAACATGCTGCATTGT